ACGAACTGCGGTCAGCCATGTGGGGTCCAGCGCCTTAACCACTACGCCACCTGCTGGCCCCAGGAATACATTTTTCAAAATCATACCCCCTAAAAAGAAAAAAGAACCAGCGTAAGATCCATCAAGCCCTCCTAGGCTTCCAGTCCCTCGCAAGATCAAACCCAGTGCCCGTTCAGGGTCTGACCCTCCTGCACTCCGAGTCACCTCGGCCTTCGCTGGTGAGCTCCTCTCAGCCCCTCATGCTTGGCCTCTTTCTAGAAGGTTCTTCCCCTCTAGCTGTGGATTCTTGGTCCTCCTTCAGGTCACTGTTCTTCCCTCCACACTAAGTTAGGACCCCTCGATACTTTCTCCATTGACTCATTCTGGGCACTTACAACAACTGAAATGAACAGTCGAAGGTTCGTGTGTGCGTGCGTGTTTGTGTGTGTATGTGTGTGCCTGCTCGTGTTGTTTTTTTTAATAGATTTTTGCTATAGGGTGTGTGCACTCGTCAGAGAGAGACAGAGAGCTAGAAAGTGAGAAATCACTCCCCGGGGGATGGCCACGCTGCAATCCCTTCTCAGTTGTTCTCTCAGGATCTTGAGCACACACACACACACACACACACACACACACACGTCCGGCATGAGGTTTACGCCACCGGGTCCAGGACTCGAACCGCGGTCGACTATGTGCTTGTCCAATGACATAACCATTACACCATCTGCTGGTCCCTTGTGTGATTATTTTTAATTGATAACTTTATTTTAACACAGTTGTAGGCTTAGAGAAAACGGAGTTTTCCCTCCCTGTGCTGTTCCTGTTACTAACATCTTGCCTTGGTGTGGCGCGTCTGCTGTAGTCATGAGCCGATTCTGGCACCTCGTTGCCACTGCAGGCTGTCGGTTACATCAGGGTCCCTCCCGTGCGGTGCCGTTCTGGGCTTTGACAGGTACCCGATGTTGGGCGTCTGCGTTGCAGGGTCACACGGAGTAGCTCCATGGCCCTCGAATCCCTGTGACCGCCTGTGCGCTCTTCCTCCCCCGCCCTCACCCTGGCTTTCTCGCGGTCTCCATCAGACTCTGCCTGCATCCAAGCAGGGACCCCCATCTGCTTTGTTGACCACTGTACCCACTCTTCCCAGCTCAGAGCCCACCACAGAGCAGATGCCCTGTAAATATTTTTCTTTGCATATTTTAATAAAAATAAGGTTCTTCTAAACATGTTCTGCAATTTGCTTTTTCCAAATATTGACAATGCATCTTGGAACTCATCCTGTAACAGAACGTAGAGATATCTCGCCCTCTTGCTCTCTCGCTCTCTCTCTCGAGGAGAATTTCCAATACACACACATAAAGTGGGGTTCTGCCATGAGGGGCGCCACGTGCCTGTCACCAGCTCCAGCTGTCAGAGGAGGGCCCCTCTCGTCTCGTCTGTGTATTGGCCTGCTCTGGCTCCTGTGCCGCTAAGGGCAGCGATGCCTACTTCTGGGTGCTGCGTGAAGAGCAAAGGCTTACCTCACCCCTGGTTTGGGAGGCCCGAGGCCAAGGGCAGCACCCGTGAGGGTCCTGTGGCGGGGTTCCGAGGCGACGCAGGGCATGACGTGGCAAGAGCCTGAGCCGAGCAGAGCACGCATCCACAACTGTCTTTGTGTCTCCTTAGAACACACGAAGATCCAGTCATGGCACCCACCCTGATCCTAGGCTCCTGCTACTTAGTTCGGGTGCCCCCCCATCCCTATCCTGGGACACAGTTGTAATAGAAGGGTGTCAAGTGAAATTGCAAATCTCTGCACGGCATCCCAGGCTGGGGCCCCGTGGTTGAGTTCTGGGGTGTGTAAGAGGGGAACGAGAACAGAACAGGCAGCAGCTCGAGACCCTGGGCTCTGCACCTTGTCGCCTCCCAGGAGCTGAGTCCTGAGCCTGGTGCTCCCAGCCGTGAGCCGAGGCCACCTCAGCTCCGGTGAGCCACTCGGTCGTGGCCTTCTCTGTTAGCAACGCCGGTGGACAGAGACGCCTCCCACGGCCCCGCCTGTCGGCACCGTCACTGGGTTAAGTTCTCACCGGCTCAGCGCCGTCACGGCGCTCACCAGCTCCCAACATGGGGGCTTGTGAGGGACACGTTCAAACCGCAGCACAGCCCGTGCCCCCTTTCTGGGTTATTCTGAAGCAGATCTTGTCATCAGATCATTTCGTCTGCAAATATTTCTTTGTGCACCTCTAAAAGATAAGAGCTTTGACAGGGTCCCCACCGTACCGTCATCACACCAGTGAACGTTCGGTGTCCAGCTTCCAAAGGTCCCACAAACCTGCGTCCCATTCGTGTGTGGTTTTACAGTCACGTCACCCAAGATGCAGAGATGGTCCACACCCTGCCGCTGGTGTAGACGCCCCTGAGGTTTCTCTTTTTAATCAAGTAATTTTTTAAAAGATTTGCCAGAAGGCACGTGTGCTCGCGGAGACA